GACATCTACCAGGAATGTAGACCCCAGAGATCATAAAAGTAGAAAGCCCAGATTCCAGGGGCTGTTCTACACCAACCCAGCTTAACAACACAGCATCTTTTTTTTTTCCTTCTTTTTTCTCCTCTCTGCATTCTCTGCCTGGAATCTGCTCTTCGTGAGGTTTTTTTTCCCCATGAATAACTATGGAAGTGATTCCTACCTCTTTCTTTTCCCCTCATTCCCTCAGCTCCAGCCACAAGCCTCTGTGCTGCTCCTGGAATGTGCCAGGCATGTTCTTTCCTGGGCACCTTTGCATGGCCCTTCCTGCCCAGACTGCTGACCCCAGACATCTGCTGGTCTCCCTAGCTCCTTGCAGACACTTGCTCAGAATTCACCTTTCTGGGAGACCTTCCTTAATAGGCCTTCCTATTTTATTTTATTTTTATTTTTATTTTTATTTTATTTATTTTTTTAAAGACGGGGTTTCACCATGTTGGTCAGGCTGGTCTTGAACTCCCAACCTCAGGTGATCCGCCACCTTGGCCCCCAAAGTGCTTGGATTACAGGCGTAAGCCACCACGCCCAGCCAGGCCTTCCTATTTTAAATAGTGTTGTCCATTCCTCTTTGCAGTTTTATTTTTCTCCACTGTACTTTAAAAAAATTATATTTTGTAGTCCATCTTCTCCCCTTCCCCTGACTAGAGTGTAGAATCCACGAGGGCAGACATTTTTATCTATTTGATCTGGTACAAGCTTAAGGGCTAGAAGAGTGGCTGGCACAGAAGAGGCATCGGATATACAAATGAATGTTAAGAAAGTGTGAGAACTAATATTCACAACTTGTTCCTCCTTTTGCCTCCTTCTTTAGACAGTTGCATATCTCCAGAGTAGCCACAAAACTTTCCAGATTTGAAAAAATAGAACTATTTCAAAATCAGTTGCAGATTTGCATACACACACACACACACACACACACACACACACACACACGCACGCACCTTTTGCAGACCCCAGATTACAGCTCTACTGTTCATTCACCAGCCGTCCCTTGAATGAAAAATATTTTTTAGGCCGGGTGCAGTGGCTCACGCCTGTAATCCCAGCACTTTGGGAGGCCAAGGTGGATGGATAAACTGAGGTCAGGAGTTCAAGACCAGCCTGGCCAATGTAGCGAAAACTCGTCTATATTAACACAAATACAAAAATCAGCTGAGTGTGGTAATGGATGCCTGTAATCCCATCTACTTGGGAGGCTGGGGCAGGGAGAATTGCTTGAACCTGGGAGGCAAAGATTGCAGTGACCCGAGATCATGCCACTGCACTCCAACCTGGGTGACAGAGTGAGACTCTGTCTCATATATATATATATATATATTTTTTTTTAAGATCCATAGATTCATATTCCTTCCAGCATATATTTTATTATTCCAAACCACAGAAATAAAGCATTTCGCCAACAATTTAATTCACTAAATATTTACCAAGCTCCTACCATGTGCCAAGCTCGCTGCGCCAGGCTTTGCAGGAAATACAAAGGAAAAAAGCTAAGTCCCCATTTTTAAGTGCGTTAAGATTGAGAAGCAGGTAGAAGGTAGTAAGCCAGGGGAAAGAGAAGGCAGAATCTGGTAGCTCTCGGTTTTACGACAGAACTCATGCTCTGATGCTATCTCTGGCTCTTGTTATCATAAGATCCAACACTTTTATGAAGATGCTGTCATGACCACCCCAGAGGCTTCCACTGTCTTCCCTCCCAACCCAAGCCCCCACCCACCACAGGAAGGGAAGGGGGAAGTAAAAGGTCAAAGCAATGCAGAGGGGCATTGGGACCTTCTGCTGCCCCAGCTTGTGGGAGGCCAGCCTCCACCCTGTCCAATATTGCAGCCAACATGTAGGGTCATGCCTGTGAGGGAGGAGCCCATGGGGCCAGGCACCTACTCTGAACCCTGCCAAACTCCTATACCCCAGCTCCAGGGGCAGGGAGAGAGAAGAGCTTACAATGATTTTACAGAACAGGTGCAATCAATTGCTGGGCGTGGTGGTGCACATGTCTAATCCCAGCGCTCTGGGAGGCCAAAGTGGGAGGATAACTTGAGACCAGGAGTTTGAGACCAGCCTGGGCAACATAGCAAGACCTTGTCTCTATTAAAAAAAAAAAAAAAGTTAGCTGGAAGTGGTGGCATGAGCTTGTAGTCCCAGCTACTCATGAGGCTGAGGTGGGAGGGTCACTTAAGCCCAGGAATTCAAGGCTACAGTGAGCTATGATCATGCCGCTGCACTCCAGCTTGGGCAACAGAGCAAAACACTGTCTGTCTCTCTCTCTCTCTCTCTCTCTCTCTCTCTCTCTCTCTCTCTCACACACACACACACACACACACACACACACACACACACAGAGTACAATCAGGTGGAATGTGCTGTGGGAGCCACCTCTCAGGGCCTGTCTGCCCTAGAAGGCAAGTTACCCTGGCCTTGGGGTGGTCAATTCTAAAAGGTAATGTGCACGTTGTGAGTTCTTTCATAAGCAGTTTAAGAGAAAAGAAAAATATAAACAAACTTGCTTGCACAGAAGCTAACCCAACTATTTTGTGATTTTTTCTTTGTCTGATCTTTCTTCTTAACTGTATGCTTATAAATGAGAAGGAAGGAATGAATAACATTAAGTGGTATTAACCCTTGCAAGGTGCTCTGTGGTGGCAAGGGCCATGTCAGAAGATCGGAGTGTAGCGGAGTTTTGAAAGGTGATAGCAGCAGTGGGTTGGGCAATCTGGAAAGACTGCGGGGAGGTGGTGTGTAGCTCAGCTCTTAGACACAGGCAGGAGAAGCCCCGGATGTGGCCCCACATTCCGAGAGCCCCACTCTGGCCCTCTACTACCCACATCCCTCCCCACAGAGCGAGGAGTGCATGAGGCTGAGGGGAGGTGGTCACCCTGTGTCTGGGCTCCTCCACTGCAGAGCAGACTGCGGGCACCCAGGAACCTGGAGTTCCCCACCCAGCTGACAAAGCTGCTGAGGTTTACACAGCAAACTCTCACTTTGGCCCATCCTTCTAAGGGTGGACTGGCTGCCTTGCTAGGCCCGAGGGGTGGCCAAGAGATGGGAGGATCACTTAAGCCCAGGACAAGCTTGGACAAGAGGCAGTTTGTGGCTGGAGCCTGAATTAAAAAATAGAGGTGTTTAATGGTGGGAGGCCCTTGGCAGTGCTGGATGGAGCAAGAAATGGGAAGAAAAAAAGGAGGCTCAGGCCGAGGGCCGGGGACTGGAGGGAGACACCAGCCTTCTCTGTATCACCACGTTCAGGCCCAGAACTTCACACAGTGTGAGATCTTTTAATTTGAACTTGGCCTTTGAAGCCACACAAAGGGCTATTCATCTCTCAAGGTGGGAGGATAGAACATATTTCACAGTTAGGTTGATTTATTCCTTTTAAATATCTGGATCTCTGGTATGTGGGCCTCCATCTGTCATCTCAACTCGGCCATGAAATATCAGGATGGTCCTGGGAATAATTTTGGAGATGGGCTTTGAGGACTGGGAAGGATGTAGATGGGTCAGAACAGCAGGAGATAATAGGACAAAAGGCTCGGACATGGGCGTCTTCAGACGCCGGCAGGCAGAGCAGGCGAAGAAAGCCATCGCAGCTGCATGCCTTCTGTTTGCCAGCTTTTGGGCATGGCATGTGGTGCGTGGCCTTCTCAGCCTGGGCTCTGCCTCCCAGGCATCACCTCTCCCTGTGATGCCTGACGCTGTGCTCCAGCCATCCCCAGTCATCTGGTTCCCACACACGCCCTGCCTTGTCATGCTTCCAGTTTGCACATGTGGTCTCCACTCTGCTCCTCCCACCTGTCCCTGATATCTCCCTAGGACATCACCTCTGGAAGTCTCTCCTGAGGGCCCACACCAGCTTGGATCCCATAACACCACCCATCATGCTACCTTTTGAAACCACTTTGTCTGTCTCCATCAGGCCCTAAGCTGCTCGGACAAGTGAGAGAAGTTTGGTGTGGGAGCAGCAGAGAGGGCCAGTTTTGCTTCATTTTGGTTTACTTTTAACCCTTATTACAATCCTTATAACAATATTTAGTGCTGGGCGCAGTGACTCATGCCTATAATCCCAGCACTTTGGGAGGGCGAGGTGGGCGGATCATGAGGTCAAGAGATCAAGACCATCCTGGCCAACATGGTGAAACCCTGTCTCTGCTAAAAATACAAAAATTAGCTGGGCATGGTGGCATGTGCCTGTAGTCCTAGCTACTCAAGAGGCTGAGGCAGGAGAATCCCTTGAACCCAGGAGGCGGAGGTTGCAGTGAGCTGAGATCGTGCCACTGCACTCCAGCCTAGCGACAGAGTGAGACTCTGTCTCAGAAAAAAAAATTTAGTAAGAAGAAAAAGTAGAAAAAGAATAAGAAAATGTTTAACAGAGGTGGTCGGACATAATAGGGAAAGCACAGTGCTTTTAAAAAACTGTTTTTTCAGGAAGGCTGAGTTCATAGGAGGGTTCTTGTTCTGAGTGACCTGGTGTGTGTGTGCATGTGTTTGTGTGCCTGTGTGTATACGCCCACACGTGCACACAGAGAGGTAGAGTGAAGGGTCCTCATTTTTTCACCAGAGGCTTCTTTGGTAAAAGAAGGGGGCTGCATTATCAGGGTTTTCAGGACTTCAGAGTTCTCGAGGGCTCCCGCAGGGACAGCTCACCTGTGTCCCCAGTGAGTGATCTTCCCTCTTACCCCTCCAACCACAGCAGCATTCTGTATTTTGTCTACGAGTTGAGATTACCTGTAAAATTCCACCCTGCATTTGCAAACCTGAACAAGAAGGCTCCAAGTCGCTGGACTGGAGCTCTACAGTCCTGTCCAGGCCCTTGGTTCTTCGGTTCTGTGGTTCTGTAAGAGGAAACAGCAGCTGGGGCCTGGAGGCCTGGGTGCAGCTGAGCAGGGAGCGCTCGTGTGGGGCTCAGTGGATACAGCTGAAGGATCTGCATCGTCTGAGACCCTACATGTCTTCCTTCTTTGCCTCCTTCCCAGGGATGCACTCTCTGAGATATTTTCGCCTGGGCGTTTCAGATCCTGGCCATGGGGTCCCTGAATTTATTTCGGTTGGGTATGTGGACTCGCACCCTATCACCACATACGACAGCATCACTCGGCAGAAGGAGCCGCGGGCCCAATGGATGGCAGAGAACCTCGCGCCTGATCACTGGGAGAGGTACACTCAGCTGCTGAGGGGCTGGCAGCAGATGTTCAAGGTGGAACTGAATCGCCTGCAGAGGCACTACAATCACTCAGGTGTGCAGGCGGCAGAGATGGACGCTTCTGCCCTGCCCCGCCCTGCAGAGGCCCCCGGGCTGACCTCCAATGAGCGATGCTGACTTGCACCTGCTGTGGCTTCTGGCAAAGCCTGGGAATCGGGTTGGTGGAGTTCAGGGCCTCCCATCTGCCTGTGCGTCTTCTGGACTGTCCCTGTGTCCCCCAGAAGCGCCCTGTCATCTGCCACACCCACTCTTCCCCATCTCTGTATCCGTATCCGCATCCCATTTCCACTCAGGCTTCTGACATGCATCTCCTTTCCCATTCTAAATTTGCCCATTCTGTGTCTCACTTCCTGGTAGCCAGGCCCAGTGACTCGCTTGCTTGTGCATAACGACATTAACTTACCCAGGGGTATTTCTGCCTCCTGCATCTCTCTCCCTCCTCCGCTGCACTCAGAATAGCCACAAAGCGTATCAGTCATTCCCATTACAGGACAACTCCCTGAGGAAGGAATTATCATGCCCCTTTGACAGGCGGTAGGTACTTCACAGATACCTGCTGCCAGGTGGGCTTCCATAAGAGGGACCTCCTGGGGACTCAGCGATGCCACAATAGGTCTGTAAACCAGAGGATGCTTCCAGCCATGCTCCGTCCCAGCACCTGAGAGCCCACCTCTGTCCCTGTGTGAACCCCTTTAGGTTTGCATGTGTGTTTCAGGGTCTCACACTTACCAGAGAATGATTGGCTGTGAGCTGATGGAGGATGGAAGCACCACAGGATTTCTCCAGTATGCATATGACGGACAGGATTTCATGATCTTCGATAAAGACACCCTGTCCTGGCTGGCTGTCGATAATGTGGCTCACACCATCAAGCAGGCATGGGAGGCCAATCAGCATGAGTTGCAATATCAGAAGAATTGGCTGGAAGAAGAATGTATTGCCTGGCTAAAGAGATTCCTGGAGTATGGGAAAGACACCCTACAAAGAACAGGTAAAGAAAGAGAGAAGGTCTCACTCCCGCACTGCCTGAACAACTGTTTCTATACATAACTCCTCCAGTCTAGGTTACATCCACCCTATCCTACAGCCATCTCTTTAGTTGGCCTATTGTGATCTCATGGCTAGAGCCCCCCGAAAACTTTCCCTCCTTACTTTTGAGCGGCATCTTGACAAGATTTGGCAGTCCCCCTTGTCTTGACAGAGTGAAGATCGCGCCCCTGCACTGCAGCCTAGCAACAGAGTGAGAGTCCGTTTCAGAAAAAAAAATTTAGTAAGAAGAAAAAGTAGAAAAAGAATAAGGAAATGTTTAACAGAAGTAGTTGGACATAATAGGAAAAGCCCCTTGCTTTTAAAAAACTTTTTTCAGGAAGGCTGAGTTCATAGGAGGGTTCTTGTTCTGAGTGGCCTGGTGTGTGTGTGCATGTGTTTATATGCCTGTGTGTATACGCCCACATGTGCACACAGAGAGGTGGGGCACCTTGTTTTTGGGGATCCACTGAGGCAAATTCTTCCATTCCTTCAATGATAAGCTTGGAAATTCTTTAGGAGGTGGAACAATTCTTACAAATTATTTAGTTAATGAAGGGCTCACATACTACCAGCAGGAGTGAAAATCTGGATTTACCAGGATAAACAGAGTGGGGGTCTCTGCTTTACTAAAGGATTAATGAGGCTGGGCACTGTGGCTCACGCCTGTAATCTTAGCACTTTGGGAGGCTGAGGCAGGAGGATTACCTGAGGCCAGGAGTTTAAGACTGGCCTGGGTAACATTATGAGACTGAAACCCTGTCTCTCTTTAAAAAAAATATTAGCTGAGCATGGTGGTACATGCCTGTAGTCAGGAGGCTGAGTGGGGAGGATAAGGTCAAGGCTGCAGTGAGCCATGATCATGATCAGCCTGGGTGACAGAGCGAGACCCTATTTATTTATTTATTTATTTATTGAGACAAAGTCTCACTGTGTCGCCAAGCTGGAGTGCAGTGGCACGATCTTGCTTCACTGCAACCTCTGCCTCCCAGGTTCAAGCAGTTCTCCTGCCTCAGCCTCTGGAGTGGCATGCACCACCATGCCCGGCTAATTATTTGTTTTAATTTTTAGTAGAGACAGGGTCTCATCATGTTGGTTGGGCTGGTCTTGAACTCCTGACCTCGTGATCTGTCTGCTTCGGCCTCCCAAAGTGCTAGGAATACAGGCGTGAGCCACTGCACCTTGTAAGACCCTATTTAAAAAAAAAAAAAAGTATTAATGATAAGATTCCTTTCAGCAAAGAGCTCCTCTGGTACCTTAAAGATATGATTCAGTTGATCAACTTTTAGTTCATACAGAACTTTTCAGGTATGATCTTATTATTCAAAATGAATCATGCCTGTATCATGCTACAGGAAACTCCTAGATACAATGTGTGTGGGAAGAGCATAGGAAGTCTGACTTGAGCCTATCTACTCCTCTCTCCAGGCCTCTATCTACCTTCAGTGTCCTAATGGATTCTCAACCTTTGGGTCAAAACACACTCCTAAAACACACACTTACACACACACATACACACACACACACACACACACACACACACACACACTCCTATGAAAGGATCTCAGGATCAGGCATGGTGGCTCAGCCTGTAATCCCAGCACTTTGGGAGGCTGAGCCGGGTGAATCACCTGAGGCTGAAAGTTTGAGGCCAGCCTGACCAACATGGTGAAACCCCGTCTCTACTAAACATACAAAATGAGTCAGGCACAGTGGTGCATGCCTATAATCTCAGCTACTTGGGAGGCTGAGGCAGGAGAATCACTTGAACCCAGGAGGCGGAGGTTGCAGTGAGTCAAGATCCTGCCATTGCACTCCAGCCTGGGCAACAAGATCAAAACTCTGTCTCAAAAAAAAAAAAGATCTTGGATTAATTTCTTACATGTCCTGCCAAAAAGCACAATCTCTCCTAGTAGCATTTATTTTACTTTTAATGTTGGAAAGCCTTTTTCTACTTCCAAATGTCATGCCTCGGTAAAGAGACAAGGAAAGCGTTGTTGGAGTGAAGGCTCTTCTCTGTATTGGGCTGGCCAGTGATAAGGTGGGGGTCAGAGACGAGCGGGAAGCAGTGACCCCAGACAGTGCGTTTGGTCTTGGTATGGCCGCATGACCCAGTTTCAGCAAGAAACATTAAGGATAGGACTGAATGGAAAATTAACAGAGGCGTCACAAGGAAGCAAAGTCATACATGGATACTTCTTTGGTGTCACTGTTGGAGCCCTTTTATGATATCAATTTCTTTGAAGGCACAATCATGTCATGATCTGTTACATATGTTTGTGCCTGATGGTAGTCATCAAAATGCCACCCTGAGTACACAAGGCAATTCAGAGTCAAAACTGAGTAGGGATGGCTATATTATTTATGTGCACTGAAAATAAAGAGTTCTCATCTCCAATCCCTTGCTGACTTACTTATAGGGAACAGTCACCTGTACGTTTTGTGGGTCAGTTTTCCTTGACACATAAAGGTATTTCAAAGGTTAATAATAAACAACCCAGCACACTTTCGAAACATTCAAAGCGGGATGGCTTTCCTCTCTTAGAGGATGGAGCATGGCCGAACTCCGCATTCTTCACTACCTAGAGCACTGCCATTGTGGGAAGTATGCATAAATAAGTCTATTGTTGATGAACGTGAGTTCTGGGTCATTCTTAGCTTTAGAAGTTTTCTGCAATAAAGAAAAATTGTGAAAGCCAGTTGCCAGGTTCTAACATTACATGCCCAGTACATAAAGTCTTTAATTTAACTTTATCTTCTTCTTCCTAGAGCCCCCACTGGTCAGAAACTTTTCAAGGGATTACAACTCTCTTCTGCAAAGCCCATGGCTTTTACCCCCCAGAAATTTACATGACATGGATGAAAAACGGGGAAGAAATTGTCCAAGAAATGGATTATGGAGACATTCTTCCCAGTGGGGATGGAACCTATCAAAGGTGGGCGTCAGTTGTGCTTGATCCTCAGAGCAGCGACCTTTACTCCTGTCATGTGGAGCACTGCGGTGTCCACATTGTTCTTCAGGTCCCCCAGGGTAAGGACGGGGATCATGGCTGTCTGGGGAGAGAGCCTGGAGAGATGGGTGGGCAGGAAGCCATGCTCCCTGCCAGGGAGGGGAGGATAGATCACTGCCTCACCCAGTGTGCCTTAGAATGGGGCTTTTAAATAAGTCGTTCTCACCCTTTTTGGAACCAGGACTCCTTAATACTATTAAAAAATTATTGAGGACCCCCAAAGAGCTTTTATAGATGTGGGTTATATCTATTGCTATTTACTACATTATAAATTAAAGATTTAAGAATTAAACATGGCCAGTTGCGGTGGCTCATGCCCATAATCCCAGCACTTTGGGAGGCTGAGGCAGGCAGATGACTTGAGGTCAGGAATTTGAGACCATCCTAGCCAACATAGTGAAACCCCAACTCTACTAAAACATAAAAAATTAGCTGGGCATGGTGGTGCGTGCCTGTAATCCCAGCTGCTCAGGAGGCTGAGGCACAAGAACTGCTTGAACCTGGAAAGCAGAGATTGCAGTGAGCCAGGATCATGTCACTACACTACAGCCTGGGCAACTGAGTGAGACTCCATATCCCCAAAAAAAGGCTGGGCCGTGGTGGCTCACACCTGTAATCCTAGCACTTTGGGAGGCTGAGGTGGGCAGATCATCCAAGGTTAGGAGTTTGAGAACACCAATATGGTGAAACTCCGTCTCTACTAAAAATACAAAAAAAAATTAGCCAGGTGTGGTGGCTTATGCCTGTAATTGCAGCTACTTGGGAAGAAGGAGAATTGCTTGAACCTGGGAGGTGGAGGTTGCAGTGAGCAGAGATTGCGCCACTGCATACCAGCCTGCATGACGGGAGTGAGACTCCTATCTAAAAAAAAAAAAAAAAATTAAACATAAGCCAAGTGCAGTGGCTCATGCCTGTAATGGCAGCACTTAGGGAGGCTGAGGTGGGTAGATTGCTTGAGTCCAGGATTTCAAGACCAGCCTGGGCAACATACTGAGATCTCATCTTTACAAAAAATACAAAAATTAGCTGGGCATAATTGGATGTGCCTATAGTCCCAGCAACTCAGGAGGCTAAGGTGGGTGGATCGCTTGAGCCCAGGAGGTCGAGGCTGCAGTGAGCTATAATGGCACCACTGCACTTCTGCCTGGATGACAGAGTGAGACCCTGTCTCAAAAAAAAAAAAAAAAAAAAGTTAAACACAAGAAAACACAAGCATATATTCCATTAGTAGTCAGATTGATGAGTGAGAAGCAACGATAAGGAAAATGGTGTTGGGTTTCCTAATGATCACAGGGACAAAAGTCCCGGAAAGGGGACTTGTGGATTTCTCCTCATTTGCTTGCTTTCAGAATCAGAAACTATCCCTCTCGTGATGAAAGCTGTCACTGGGTCCACTGTCCTCGTCATTGTGCTGGCTGGAGTTGGTGTTCTCGTCTGGAGAAGGTGGCCCCGAGGTGAGAGGCAAGTGGAAGGGGTCCAGGGGCCTTCAGACTCTCCTGCGTCTCTCCAGAGTTTTATTTTCTGCACCTGCTGCTTCGAGCTCCATTCAGAAATGGCTTGGCTCTCACAGTGGGCTTGCAGAAGGACCTGGGACAACCCTCTGACCACGTAGGGGACACATAGCATGGATGATGCTTGTGTGGGAGCGGTCTCTTTTCATAGGTGATGCCTGACATCAACAAAATAGTACATCTGTCCAGGGAAACTGTCCCCCTAGAAGTTGGGTCAGAGAAGATATGGGGATCTTGATTTGTCTTTTTCCAAACCATCTTTTTATTGTTAATTACTGTTGACTTCTGAGACAATGTCCTTTGTTTCAAGACTTCCATCATTTTTCCATTTTGACCACCATTCTTTCACCCCAAGCAAATGAAAGTTCTTTTGCTTCTAAATTCATTTTTCAAAACATGAAATGTATAAGAGTAGATACCTTCAGAGAATGGGACTTAGAGTAAGGAAAAGGGGAGGAGAAGTAGGAGATATATAGGCTCTTGATAAGATGGAATAACATAAATTCCTTCACTAAGTATACATGAAGAAGCTGCTGTGCTCCAGGCACTGTACCGGTTGCTGGGATACAACAATGAAGAAGACAGACATGATGCCTGTTGTCATAGAGCTTACAACAGAGCCTTGCCTCTGGCTTCACTAATTGCTCAGATTGATCAGAGGATAGTACTGAGGAGACCTGAATCACGCTTTAAACCCAAAGTGGACCAGAAGCTTGGTTTTCCTAAAACATGTTTCATAAAACATAGACCTCAACCCCAATTCAGTTGATAACTGTAAAAAGCATGTCATTAAATCAAAGTAAAACCAACCACTTGATTGGAAAATCAGCATGTTTTCTTTATAAATAAAGTACAGCATGAATCCTAATTCAATAAATGATAGCTAGTGAAACAATTTTTTTTTTTACAATGCCATCCCTCTTTCAAGAATTTTACAGACTGTGAGTTTGTGAATTCCTGCTTTTTATCTTATGGAGTTTACAAATTTGAGCTAAAGTTTGTCAAGTACTAAGAGAATCTTGACAAAGCAGGCTAAAACTGTCAATGTCTGTTTCTCAGATTTTGCTGAACACTGCATACTTTATTTTTGAGCTGTGAGGAAACATTCTTGTAATCTGACTAAAAACCTCTTTCCTTTCAGAGCAAAATGGAGCCATCTACTTTCCAACACGAGATCGATGATTGCAGATCCTTCTTTTCCAGTTCTCCTTCCCCTAAGAGCCATGTTCTCCTCTGTCTCCCATAGACTCAGGTCCACTGCTTGAAGCTCCTGACCACACCCACAACATACACGAGTGTTACGGGTTTGGTTGCCCCAAACCCCACAGACTCTGTAACAAAACCCCAAACCTATTGATTTAAAACAATATACATTTTGTTTTCTTTCATAGTTTCTATGGGTCAGGAATTTGGATAGGGCTTGGGTAGGCAGTTCTGGCTTCTCATGGAGTTGGAGGCAAGTGGTGGCTGCAACAGAAATGGGGCAGCCAGGGGTGGTGGCCAGGCATCTCCTGCATCCCCTCCGTGTAGTCTTGGAAACTCTCCATGTGATCTCTCTGTATGGGTTAGCTGAGCTTCCTCACAACATGGTGGCCTCAGGGCAGTCACTGCTTACATGGCAGCTAGCTTCCCTCAGAGTGAGTATCCCGAGAGATCACAGCCAAAGTGCATAGCATTTATATAATGTAACCTAGGAAGTCACAAGGTATCATTTTTATGATACTCTCATTGGTCAAGGAAGTCATAAAATCCTGCTCAGGTTCAAAAAGAGGATATATAGACCCCAACACTCAATAGGAAGATTGTCAGAGTTACATTGTAAGAAGAGCACATAGGGCTGGGCGCAGTGGCTCATGGCTATAATCCAAGCACTTTGGGAGGCTGAGGCGGGTGGATTGCCTGAGCTCAGGAGTTCGACACCAGTGAGTTGAACTGGGTGAAACCCTGTCTTTCCTAATAATACAAAAAATCAGTCAGGTGTGGCAGCGGGTACCTATAGTCCCAGCTACTCAGGAGGTTGAGGAAGGAGCATTGCTTGAACCCAGGAGGTGGAGGTTGTAGGTTGCAGGGAGCCAAGACGGTGCCACTGCAGTCCAGCCTGGCAACAGAGCGACACTCCATCTCAAGAAGAGCATGTAGATGGGAGATATCATTGTGGCTGTTTTGGGAAAGATGCAGCATGTCACAATGTCATACTCTCTATCATCTCCCTATCCCACTTTGTACTGGTTTCCAAGGGCAGTCGTTTAAAAGTAACACAAAGGCTGGGCATGGTGGCTCATTCCTGTAATCCCAGGACTTTGGGAGGCCGAGGTGGGCGGATCACAAAGTCAGGAGTTCAAGACGAGCCTGGCCAATATGGTGAAGTCCCACTGAGATAGGAGTTAAGACAAGACCTAAGGACTGCCATCTTTTTTTTTTTTTTGGGGGGGGGGGG